TGGAAACGATGGTTTGTGGTATTTACCGGGGAACCATCCTCCCCCCCGTCCTGACAGCACTGGGCTCAGGCCAAACGAAGTCCCAAGATCAACTGAAGGCCGGGAGGCGAAAACCAAGCATTGCTCGGATCATGCGGTGCCTTGACATGCAAACACATGACCACTTAAAACTGTGTTTTTGTTTTGTTTTGCGAAAACAGCGTTGAACACTCCTTTTCCTTAAGCACGCTTTGCTACTCTTTCAGCATGCCCGCATTATCCCACTCGGAATCCCTCACTCCCCGTGTCATTCATGGAAGCAGGCCGTGAAGCCTCCTTCGCACTCTGCCTGACTGCCCCCTTCTTTCGGACCAAAGAGTTCCGGATACTTCACAACCTTTGGTGTGGCAGCAAAAAAAAAAAACAGTTTTTGCGGGCCCCTTTAAATAGAACAGAACCAAAACACCAAAGACTTGGCAACACGTGGATGACACGAGCACTTCCGGGCTGCCACGCCGAGCTGCAAACCGCCCTGCGCGAGGCCATCCCAAAGTGCTTCGGAACCCATTGCAAAATGCCGGATGGGTTGACACATCCTTGGACTACGGCTTGAACACGCAACAATCGCACCCCCCCTACATGTCACAAAAACCGTGCGAAAAAGGTTCGAATGTTGGCGTGGCTATGGACGTGTGTGTATGCGTGTGGTGCGCACATGCTAAACCATTTCTTTCACATCCATTCGCAGGTGCGGAATAGGCAACGTTGCCCAGAGTTGTCGATTTTGGATCTTCCAAATGATGGAAATTTAACGTAAAATCCGGAGACTGCCGGTTTGTTAAGGGTCTCAGTGAAAAAATAGTTTTCAAACTCCCAGTACCCTTAGTGTTTGAGGAAACACTCCTAGAAATTGAGTGTCACTCCTGAAAGTTGGTTTGCACACCTGAAACCAATTGAAATCGCAATTATTCGCTATGACTTGACCGAATCAGAATCAGCTATTCAGAATTCTTAGCTCTTCAGAATTTGGAATTAGTCAGAATTTCGGCCTTTGAATGACAAATTGACAAAACCAGAAAGCACCTGAAACTCATTTCCTATTTATGGATGCTCGCTCCTGCCTTTTGCAGGCCACTCCTGCTTGTTGATTCATGCAATTGAAATACCTGAAACTTCTAGTTTTCAGAGGGTCTCCTGGAAATACCCCGGAGAACGGGAAAAACCGAGAAATCACCCGGAGAGGGAGAGAACCCGAAAAGGCATTGCCGCATGTTGGCTGAAACCAAAACCAGCTCCGTTGAAGTGAGCCAAGGACCACGGGAAGTCGATGCAGCAACTCTTTTTCTCCACAAAAACCACCCGCTTTCCTTGGTGAGACTGCCGGATAGGTGCGTAAAACGAATGACCGAATCTCACATGCTCAGAATAAACGCCGTGCAAGAAGTCATGTACTTCTTGACTGAAAGCTTGATGTTGGGGGGCCTGTGACTGATCGGGCGGGCGGGGGCAAATTGTGCACATGCGGCTGGGTCCGGCAGTGTGGAAGAAACGCTTGCCACGAAAGAAATGATGCCAAGTGGCCATGGCTCAAAATCCAAATCGTACCCCCAGTGACCCAGTGAACATCCCAATCCCCATTAAAATAGGTTCTAAAATGGGTGGTGCACCTTCCCCAAAATGGTACCATTGGTGTTGACCTACGGCCAAATGAGTGGTAGCGCTTCCTCCATGCCTCGCTCACTTACGCCTGGCCCGCGCGACCAGTGAGTTTGCGCCACTTCTCATACTCCTTGGCTGCCAAAATGAGTCACAATCAAAACCTGGTATTAAAATGGTCTACCCAGAACCATGCAAAGAATTAAGAAGGCGGCCGCAGCTATGTGGCTGGGATTGTCCCTTGCTAACCTTCATCTACCCGGGTTTTGGTTGTGGCTCAAATGTGGTTCGGTCAGTCAACGTTTGTCAGCCCATGTGTCTGTCCGTCCACGTGCCATTCAAATCCAACAACTAAAGCAAGGGAACGCTAGCAAAGGAAGCCTCGTCATGCACAGCACATAATGTCAAGGAAAACATATCGTCTTACCAAGCGCAATTCAGCTGTGTTCACAGCCAGGCGTTGTCAAACTCCAGCCAAGGCACCCTCTTCAGCATCCACGGGGATTTCCAGCCCGGCAACTGCCAGGGCCGCGGTTCTCGCAAATGGGTGCACCCCGGGATCTTGTAGCCGAGGAGCTGCGCAACATCGAAAAAGAGACCCGCAAACCTACACACCCACACCTGCACATGTGCACACAAGCGCACACGCACACAGCACCAAAGGCACCAAAGCACACCTGCATGTACACTCATACACCTATACACCTGCACACATGAACGCTGAGTGACGCGTTGTCAGGTTGGAGGCTGCCTTGTAAGACGACCTCTTCTAACTCTTCCGCTCCAGTGCCAAACAAGGTAGACGCAAAGCAACCTGACCTTTTCATGCTTTTGGCTTTGCCACAGTTGGGTTTTTGGCCATGCGTTCGAAGCCTTGTAGGCCGGCACCCATTTGTCTTCAGGCTTGTCAATGTAGCCCTTGGCCACGCAGCCGCGGAGGAGGCTGCGGAACCTGATCGCGGCGATTGAAAAGTGTTGGAATGGCAAGTGGTTCCCACTCAACGTGCGCAGAAACATCGCTCTTCATAAAGAAGGAAGAAGCCATTCTAGCGCCTCAAGGTTGTGACTCAGTGTTGCGACTAAGTCGAACGAGAGCGTGTCTTTCCAAAGGACGGGCATCCCACTATTTGGCTGGAATGACAGTCGACTCTTGGCCGTGTACCGTCGATTGTTCATAGCCCAAACTGATGTACAGTAGAAACAATTTTCGAAAAAAAAAAGAGGCAAATTAGTCCTTATTATTAAATCCTCATTCAAAATTAATTCCATCTCCCCCAATATATTTCCAAATATTGCATAATATAAAAAACAAAAATCTACCAAAGTTCATATACCATGTTTTCTTATACAATCCAATAAAATATACAAAGTCTTGCCCTATCCTGCTGCTGGCCACAGATATGAAATCATCCAAAACGAATACATAAATCTGGAGCACCCTACCCAAGCTTTTGCTCTCAAACTGTCTAAAGTGAGTCACACAAAGTCACCAGCTTTCACGCCGCGGAATTGAAATCCTTTTCCTCTCTCCTTCCTGTCCATCCCAAGGCGCATTCGATCCTTCTTCTTGGCCGCGCGGTTGCGGTGGATCACGCCTTGCACCGTGACGATGTCAATCCACTCGCAGGCCTCCGGCCCGAGATGAATCCCTCACGCTCCTCCCTTAGACCCTTGCTACATCTCGGCAAGCGCCGCAAACGGTCTGAAGCAAAGCATGGTTTTTTGGCCTGAGAATCAATAGAGCTTTGCGTGAACAGGGCCGGCCCCCTTGGTTGCTCAGCTTCACCTTTGCACTCTTCAGGAACTCTTTGAGCAAAAGCTAACAAAGGCAACTGCGAGCAAATTACGAAACCATGGTGCAATACACAAGTTGGTGACAGTCTGCACCGCCCAACGCACAGCCATCTTCCAGAACAGCTGGCATTTACGAAGAGCCATGCTTGGCGCAACTTCAGTGTCCCATGTCACCCGCCTCATCCAGCTTCGGCTTAACTTGCCTCATGACTGCCTCGACGCTTCCAGGAGCTGGAGCATCGTAGAACTCCAGCCGCACGCAATAGTTCAGAACCTGCTTCATCGCTTTCTTGTAGCGGTTCCTGAGCAAATCCGGCACATCAGCATGCAGCCCTCACCCATGCTCACACTGACGATTTCAACTCATCCCTTGAGCGTCAGCTTTTCCAACGCTCGCTTTGCCTATACATGAGAAGTCCGATACGCTTCAGGCCTTCCAACATTGGCCAGTCGCATTTATTACTCGCAACCTCGAAGCGCACTGCTCTAGGCCTGCGATGGCCTGCGTGCTACACGTAGCAAAAACCAAGACGACGGCAGCTGATCTGACGAGAACTCAAAATTCACCGTGAAAGCACATTGCACCAATCCCCGCGGCTAAGTACAGGGGTCTAAATCAACATGGTGCAATGCGCCATGCATGTTCCAACTCTATGCTAACACTTTCACAATTGACACGCCATCGTTGGAGTGCTGGGACCAAAGTGGCTGTCCGCCCGGGGTTGGAAAGAGTCTTGGTCCTTGCTCTGCAGCTGTCACAACTCTTGGTTTCGCATGGAAAGGTGTTGCAACCTAGTAGGCTGGGCTCCCTGAAATGCGCCAATGCCCCTTCATAAGCCACCTGAAAACGACCTTCCAATCCGGGCAAGGCTCTTCATGAAGATGTTGTAAGCGCGGTTTCGGATGTTGCGACGGTGACGGTCCTGCCCGTCGCACATGCACTCGTTGCAAGCTCGGTTGAAGCGAAGCAACCACTTTCAATCAACAATGCACTCACCTACTTGCTTGCTGCTGCCTGCTTCCGGGCAGGAATTATGTCGCGCTCGGCTCATGCTGTGGCAACCCCGATCAATTCAACTCGACCTACTATTTGCGGGGTGCCTTGAAATTTGCATGGAACTCCTGCCAAATATCAAACCCTGGAAACGATAGGGGGGCTGAATCAATTTGACAAGAACCCAGTTTGCTCCGCATATGCACACCACACCGTGCACAAGTTATATCTATATATATATATATATGTATATCAGAATGTATGCAGAAAGGAAGGCCTTCATCCATAATATGGCCTTGCTGCTTGCAAGCAGTTTGGCAGACTCCAAAGGTTCACTGTGCAATTGGTAGCTTCCCAGCCAAGTCTACACGCTGCTGCTTTGTACATGCCATTACGCTGCCCCGCCTTATGCGGTCAGCCAAAAATGTTGCGTGTTGCGTGACGTCCACTGATATTCTGCTATACTTGCAACCTTCATGCCTGGTTTGGATCGCAAGACAACGCAAACTGTCGCCTCATAGTAGCGCCAACGGCGAAAGTAGAGGGTGTAGCAGCTGTAAAGACTGCGGCGCGCGGTGAGCTGACCGCGGTTCACCTGCTCGCCTTAGGTGAGACTGAGAACAAGAGATCGAGTGTGGGCGCGCAAGACAAAGCAAACTGCAAATGGTTTTGGGTCAAGAATAGGTACCCAAAATGGAACCCTGGTAAATGGAAAGGTCTAAAACCCGCGGTCGCCTGGTGGTTTAATTTGACCCATACCCGAATCTAATGTTAGCTTGTATTCTGATCGTCCCGGGGCCAACGCCAATTTCCTTCTAACACGAAACGAAAAGAAAGCTCTGGGTGACCCCATGGTCGCACATGTTGTGGTCGCCGGCCATCATGGTTGGGTCTTGATAGTTGCCCTCCCCAATTGTCATGATGAGGGTCATCCAGGGCCAGAAAATCCTCCAACACCTCAAGCTGATGTGCCAAGTCGCCCAAAGAGCCACCAGTGAGCGCAGGGACCGGCGCTTCAGGCTTGACGCTCACCACGAAGCTGCGGCGGCTCGGCCGCGCTGCCTGACCGTGCCCTCCCATGTAAACGCACGTGTCGCATTTTGCAAACCACATGCACTCTGTAGAAGCCGGACATATTCACCCCCCTTGCGGCTGCAACCTGCGCAAGCAAGTAGCCTTCGACATGTCAATCAAGTCGATCACTGCATGCTACACTTTGAATCACGGTGCCATCACCACGATGAGGCAGGCAGTCAGTACTGGTGAGGAAATTGACCATCGCCGTTGACACAAGCCACAATGGGCAGAAACCTTACTTATCTCGGCACAGGCAGCAAAAGCTTTCTCCATAGCAGTCATCAAAGCATTGCTGAAATTGCCGGTATTCAGCAACTTTGCGCCCCCGAAAGGTACATTTATACTTCAATTCACTGACCGCGAATTCCTGGCCACACTTCCGCCCATGAACACTGGCAACTCTGCAAAAGCGTTTGGGCGCAAGCTTTCTCCTAGTTGGGTCTTGCATGTCCCTGTGCCAACTTGCAATGGACCCCTGAGATGGGCTCTCTGCGATTTTCAACCGTCGCCTTTGTGACCCTACCTGCGACTTGCTCGGGGCACTGTCCGATGGCTTCGGGGATCGAAGCCGGCCTTGTAGGCCAGGACTGCGGCGAGTCCAAGTGCTGCAGTGCCCAAGCCACGGCTGTCCTGCATGTGGCTCCCGCAAAGGCATGGATGCTCATGGCTTTCCTTGGGTACACACAGGATCCCCTTTGTACCTGCCTAATTTACAGGTCAGGCAAGAGGATTGTTGCAACCCATGTTGAGCACCAGACCGGCAAGCTCCCGGTGCAGGGAGCTCTCAAAGCAAGGTGGGTCAGCGCAACATGAGCTAAGAACATTAAAATGCTGGGTGATCTTGGTGGACGGCCTTCAAAATGACAGGCTACACCCGCCAGAGGACGGGTGCCCGGAGCCTTGAAGCATCACATTCATTTCACCTTGCAAGGTGCAACTTGCAAGGTGCACCAAGCAAGTCAGCACATGGCCAGTGTGTCATGGGAAAAGAAAGTCTGCATCTGGGATTTGACCGGAGGTAATGTAGCCTGACGAATGTTTGTCGTGTTCCATGAAGCGCATCCAAAAGCCCTCGAATCAACGGCCGGAAGCGAATAAACAGAAACACAGAAGCGACAAAACACTATTGTGGACTGCTTCCAAAGCTCGGCTTTGCAGCGGCGGCGCTGCCGAGCAAAAATGTTTCAATGGTTTAAGCCGTGCTCATGCTGAACAAAGAATGACACGAGCGGTGTGATAAGTTCTCAAAACATCCCTGTTCACCAGCAAAAGCTTGAAGTATGGATGAGACATCCACTTGAGCAAGGGCGGACCGAAAGCTGGCACTGTGGCAAACCAGTCCGGCCCGGACAGGGAGGGAGTCGAACCGCTGCAGCGCAAATGCACCCTAAGCACATCTTCTATTTCTATTGACAACAGTAACAACCACCATCATGTTCATAATGATAATCCTACAAAAACAGTAACGATAACAAAACTTGTCACACATGTCACACCCACTCTTGCGCGCACAATGTTGCCACCCTCTCCCCCTGATACACCTTTCAGGACTGCATTGCAGCGTTGCAAGCCTCCCGTCCTGCTGCGGAGAAACTTTTGGTGGCGCGATGGCGCCCGGCACTGGTGCGCGGGTGCGCGCTGCTGGCGCCACGAGGAAAGAGGGCGCCAACCTGCACAAACCGTAGCATGACCGAAGCATTGCACATCTCAATCAAGACCCGCAAAGCAAAGCCTCGGAACAATCGATGCTGCACATGAGTTTGCCGGAGCCCAATCTCCAAGCAGAATCCTGCGTCAGACCAGCACTAATAGCCTAAGATTTGCTTATCCTCCTGAATAGAACGGCAGGCACTGCAGGTCTCAAAACCTAGTGTCGACGGATGTCGACGGGATCACCCAAAGACTCACAAGTAGCAGCAATGTGGCGATAAACAAGAAGGATTGGATATAACCCACTCAAGTTTTTTGTTTGGGGTGTTACCTTACCTTGGAAAAAAGGAATCGCTGTGGCGACAGGTCTGAACCTGCGTTGCCCGACATTTCCTGAAGCAAATGCGATAGCCCCGGGCAGCAAGGCCACCAATCCCCCAGCCCCAAACCAAGCGCTGAACAACTTGACACGGGATTTGATTATATTTGCTGGAGGTCATTACAAAATCTGCGCATGCAAACGGAATTCAGGACACCATGGAGGCTCGTTCGGAGTTTGAACCAACAGTTTACAAACCAAACTCCCGGCCAACTCTTACTCCTGTCACTTGACCAGACTTGTCCACATGTCCACCACCTGCACGGCCAGTGGAAATAACCTTCCTCACGCACAGCAGCCCATGCCAATTCTCACATGACCACGTTGCACTAGGCTAAAACAAATGCTTTGTTGCTGTTGACCCCTCCGCAAAAAAGTTTGACTTTTTGTGGGTTTAGTGGAAACCCCCTTCATTTCCCAAAAAGTTGAAGTCCAAAGGTCCAACCCAATAGCAGTCAAGAATGCACAGGCCCCAACCCCGCCCTGGCTGGCCGGGGGCCAGGGCCGCCCGCCTCAGCGTCAGCGCCAGAAGAGCGCCGGCGAGCAGAGCCCGCGCCATTGGCCCCGATGATTTCAGTCAAGAGCCGAGGCGTTGGCTGCGGGAGACTTCGCCTTCGAGCCGTGGCCCAATGGCACAAAACCGGTGCCAGGCAGAAACTGACGCAACGCTCCTTATGTTTGCCCCAATTTGCTCGCTCGAACAAATTCAAATAAATGTCAAACAACAAGCTCATGTGCCTTCCTGAAGCAATTAGAGATGCCCTTGCTGAGGCCATGATCCCGTTCTTGGGGAAGTGCAAGTGCCCTTTGGCGTTGCTGCATGCTAAGCAAGCGCCCGTGAGATGATTTCCGACCAGAAGGGAAAGGCTCTTCCACAGTTGCTGCTCAAACGCTGCTGAGCTTTGAACGTGTGGCTTGCTTTGCAGGCATGGCGCACACGCGTCACACACACACGTAGGATTGCAAGCCCTGTACGCTCATTGCAGTTTGAGCTACCCCACTCTTCGCGGTTTGTGCACTCGTGACTGTGCAAACCCACGCAGGAGCGACCAAAGCCACCCACCCTGGTTGCAGATGCACGCATGCTCCGCTCGGCACATGCCTCCAAGTTCGGGATGAACCCAAACTCAAGACCTGGCTGAAGCGAACGGAATGTGAAGAAGCTGATTGCTGTTCTCCTAGGTCCTCCAGTAGTAGAGAGGTTAGAATAAGGGTACCCTTGTTTTTCTGCGGTCTATTTTAGTAGGGGGATCTGTGGGCTGGCCGCAAGTATGGCTGTCCAAGCGCCATGCCTCTGCCGGGCTCCGCCTGGCTGCGGGCGGAAACGAATGTTGACTCTTCCTCCCTCCTAACATAGCATTTTCAGTGGCTAGGAATGCTCACCCGAGTGGCTTATGATCTGGCCCTCCACTGGTTTGCTTTGCAGGTGCGATCCATGGATCGAGACTATGGTATTGCCATGTTTGATGTACACGCTGGCGTCTGCAAATACATGATGTAGCAAACAGCGGCCAAGTTTGCAATCTTGGCCAATCAGTCAAACACAAACACCTTGGCACCCCGCACACATATGGCACAAATGGGCGCAACGCCTGGGATACGAAGGGCTGACGATTCTGAGACCTGGGCAAAGGACGCCAAACCAAAGGCAAACCTCCCCATGTCTTTCATTGATGATGGCAAATGCATGCTGAGAAAGATCGGTGAGCAATCCTTTCGATCTTTGTTGTCGTTTCACTCGGCAATGTATGAACGCATCATGGCAGTATGCTTGTGTAATGTGCAGTGGTCATCGAAGCTTGAAACCTCCAGAGCTCAAGGCAAACCATTCGAACGAATCAGATCTCTCTGCATGCGAAGCTTGGTGCCTTGCTTCCCCAACAAATTCACACCGTGATCTAGTGAGCGGCGCAAACCGAACGCACTCAAAACTCAAAAGCCGATCCCTGAGGCCGCAAGCGTGCTCAGATCTTGTTGCGCACCTAAGCAAAGTGCAAGACCTGCCGTCAAAGTATCTTACAGACCTTGAAAAGTTCGGTTTAGCTCAAGGAGGTGGCACGCAGCATGGAGAGTCTTTCTTCTTGTTAGATAGCCCGCCACGCGACGAGAAAATAGGCTAAAGGAACTTGGCAAGCATGAGCCACGATCATTCCCAAAGCCAAGCATGGCTGCACAACGCCGTGGTAGGACGTGGTAGGCAGGCCATTTTCGCAGCGATTGATTGGCGCACGCTCAGCGGAGGTTGTACTTTGTCATCGTGAGCCGCGCCAGTCTCATCGCCTTGACAGGCTCTTCGGAAATGACTTGGATTAGGTAGATGCAAGGGAGAGCAGCCCAACCAACGCAAGTTGATGACACTGAAATGTTCTTCTCAGTACTTGGCTCAGGGGAACGCATTATCAAATCAAAGGTAAAAGGATGGTGCATTTTGTTATAGCTTTATGCAAGCTCCATTAATACCGCCGTGCTGCTTAAGCAAACCATGGACATGCATGTTCTTCGAGGCCACCGACCTGACAGGCTGTTAGCCTATGTTTCCCTGCTCAGCATGCAGCATGTTGAGCCTTTCGCCAACTTCAGCTTTTTAAACTCAAGTTAAAGCATAAAGTGCAGCACAGAAACGTCTTTGTCCTCATGATAGTCGTAGGTCTTGCGAAGGGCAATCTCTGGAGGCGTATCCTTTGGCCCCTCCTCGTGCTCCTGAACAAGCCCGCGAGCCAAAAAGCTGATGGGGCCGCCTCCGCAACGATCAGCATCGCCACACAAGCTGGAAAGCTGACCATCGTGAACCCCAAGATCAAAGCTGGGAATGCTAAAGCAAATGCAGCAGCAAGTGCATGAAGCAAAGGAAACAGGAGAGGGAGCAGAGGAAAGTAAACATGTTGAGACATACTTGCAGTTTCAGGCATACAGCTAAATCTGGCAAGCTTGTGAGACATCTAGGATACGTAGCCTGTCGCTGAATTACCCCGACAAGGCACCGTGTCATCAGTTCAACATGGCCAATGCGGAGAGCAATTGGCTTCAAACCCGCCAGCAGTCGCGTGCAAGATGTGAACTGTCCTCTTCTTTCTGCATGTGCTTGGGCGGATCTGGCCATGGAATAATATGTCCAGACAGCTTCGAAATGCGGATCGCTTCACCATCCTCCGTGAAGGTCAGTCCAACCTAAGCAAACAACACACCTGCCAGTGATCCATTCCAAATGCCGATGCCGCCGTGCGTCAGCCTTCGTTGTCCAGCGAGCACCCCTTCTCTGAAAGCATCAGCCAACATTGCAATCTTTCAGATTTCATCCGATGCGCACGCAGCAAGTTTCTAAGTTTCACCTTGTTTTCTGGGTATCAAGGGCGGTGGAAAGTCCAACGGGAGGGTTGGCTTGTGTCAACGCATTCTTTTGGAGACGCCCTGGCATCCCTCTTGAGCCGTTGCGGTGTTTGCCGGGCTGCCCGTGTTGGCCTTCCCGCGGCAGGGTCCATCAATGCCACGTTGGAGTAGTGGATCCTCACTGCGTGCGCCAAAAAATGGACCTTCCAGCCGGGAAAGCCACTCCATCTACCACAAAAATCGGGGCAGCCATGGGCAAATCTGGCTCGCACGTGGATACTGCTATGAATGTGCGGCCAATCCAAGAAAGCTTCAATGCGTGCTTGATGTTAGCTGCAATCACCTGTCCATCTGTGGAAGGGAATTCCTCCAGTCAATGCACATAGTTGGAGGGCTTGCCAAACCGAGCGGCTTCTTTTCAATGAACTTTGGATTTCCATCATCGTCAAGCACCTGAGCGACAAATCCAAAAACCGTGTGCGTGTTCAGGAACCTTCCTGACAATTGCAAGCACGCGGTAAACCAACCCTGACCCAAGGCAGAATGCTTTTTCCCCGGTTCGGCGGGATTGATTTCGGCGCTGTGTGTTGCTGGCTCTCGGCTGGTAAGTGGGTTGAAGGGCGGAGGTTTAGGGCGAAGGGTGGGAAACAATTAAGGGTTGTTGCTTGCTGAATTAAGTCAATTTTGGCCGAGTGTGAGGGACGGCTTCGCATTCTACGTAATGGCTTACTGTTTGCTTGTTGGGTTGAGGACAAACTCACTGGACGTATTGGGCTACTGGGAAACTGCACGCACCACCGACTGGCCGACCAGCCGACCGGCTGGATTGGACGGACAGACCAAGCAGGTACTGCGGCGTGAAACCCTTCAAACCCGACCCAATGAGAATTTGAGAGAGATAGAGAGAGAGGGAGACTTGCAAACATTAAGTCCAGGGAGCCTTGCGCTTATTCACGCCCTTCACCTTCAGCATGTTCCGCCGCGGGTCTATCATGAGCACCTCCCCTACATTTGCCTTGTCGATCCCAGAACTCACCTGAGACACCGGGAAGTGCAAAGGCTGCAAGACACTTGGCATGCAACAACTGGTTTGCACAACCGACTTCCAACCAAGTTGTGCGTAAACTTGGAAATGCCTCGCATGGCTACTTTCGGACACCTGGCCAGCCACCCTTCGAAACATAGGCTTGTAGGCTAAAGAAGTTGTAACCACGGCTAGGCGAGAATTGGGTGTGGCTCAAAATTAAACAGGAGGGGCAAACCGCAGGTTTTGGTCCATGTTTCCACTTCCCAGCGCAACCCATTCTGGTACCGGTTTTCTGAGCCACAGCCAATTGACAGATCCTCATCGCTCCCGCTCGTTGTCACATCCGAGCTGCGTAGACTAAGTCTCCAGGACGAATCTTCCAGGTGCGGATCATGAGCCTGGAGCCCCGCAAAACCCGTGGCAGGCCTTCGGTTTCGGACAGCCGGAAACCGGTTGCCCAAAAGACCTGGAAATACGAGGTGATCACCTTTTGGGGCCACTAAATATGGATCGAAATGGGAAAATTTAGAGGTCAAAAGGTCGATTCGCTTTGAACAACTGAGAAACCCATGGCAGGAACTGCAACTGAAAGGTGCAACTGTAACCCTGTGGCTTTGCTCGAGTGACTCCGGCGCGTGCCAGGCGAACGGCGTGGGGCAAAAAGTCTCTGTGAAACACCTGCAAGATCATGTGCAAACCATCCAAAATACGTGAACCAAAAACGGAAAGCAATAAGATAGCAAGTCCCATGAATTCTGATAAGACCACCGCCCCAAGCCGCTCACAAACGAAATCCAGCTTTTCGGCCCAGCCTTGGCTTCACGACTTTGGGGCCACGCTCTGCGAAGCGAAGCGCATTGAACCTGCAAAGGGCATTGCGTGCATGGGAACAGCCAATGGACCACAATAGAACCGCAAGCTGTCCACCACCTACACCCCAGACCAAAGCTGGAAAATCATATTCTCCTTTGGGTGGTCCGGCAGAATAGGAAGCAAGTTGCAGTGGAGACCGGAATGGCACCTTTCGGGCCTGCCAAAATCCATGCCGGAAAGCAAAATATAGGCTCCTCTTGCACAGGCAATGGACAGGCATAAGGCATGTGCTATGTTTGGTCCAATGCTCCAAAAATTGTCTGTATTGTAAATTTATGTGGATGAAAGGTTGAGGATGGCACTAGTGGGATGGATCCGGGAAATCTTTCAACCAGCGCCTCGGCAGGAAGGACGGGAGGGCATGGCCCAAGCGCAGCATCGCTGAGCGCTCGCTGCCGCCGGATTTTGCGATGAAATCCCAGCCCCTCCCGGACAAAAGAATTGGCCTGTCAGCGACTCAGTTGCTATCGACATGTCTTGCAAATTCGTCTTTTGGAACATTCTTGGGAAATGTCTTGGCTGCCTGGCTGGGCATCCCCCGTTTCAGCATGTGGCCTTTGTGAGTCACAGCCTTAGCTGCCCCGGTCTTAGGCAGAAAGGCTGCGGCCAGCATTAACTGTACGCAAGCGGCAGCCGGCAAATCAAAATTGCGTAGCACCATGTCCTGAGCCTCGAGCTGCTATGTTGCCTGGGCAATTTCGCTGCGAGATAGACAAGCCGCAAAGAAGGCTACAACCCGGTCGGCCCATCCAACGGGAGCAGGGATTCGGCACTCGCCACCCTCAGGCTACAAGGGCCACCGCAGGGCAGCCAGCTAAAAAATAAACTGCCCCCAGGGCGTTTGCGAAGCAGGATGTTAGCACAAAGATCCTTGCACTGAACGAGGCCGACAAACGTGTTGGCCATGATCAACACATCTAGTTTCATCTTACTCAACATTCAGAACAAAGCTGCTTCAAAGCCATAACAGGAGTGAAACTGCACTGCTCCATCTACAAACATCTACAGGCCAGGTGTTACTTCTGAGGCTCATCACTGATTATGCAATAGTATGCGCAACTTCAACAGCCTAACGCTGCCCAAGCCAGTTTCACTGCATCGCACTGTGTTCTAGCAAGCACGAAAAGGGGAGCACTTAAATGGTTCAGCAGAAGACGGCAAGCAAAATGACAAAGAAAATAGGATGAAGTCTTCGTTTAGGCATCCTGAATTCTGAAGGATCTCGCCTCACATGCCACCACAAAAGCTTGATTGCCGGCTCCTGGCTACATGCGTGCCAACCAACGCCTGCCCCAGCGATTGCAAAAGCAAACCTGTGTGCACATTCCAATGGCGTTCATCATGCTCCATTTGGCATTAGCCAAAAGGATGTGTTCAATACGTCTGGTCTTTGCCGCACTTCTGAGACTCCGTTCACCCAGCTACTGGCCTTCCAACAATACTTGCACAGGCTGAGCAATAGCGAGCCCCAAGCAGCCCCATTCCCAGCCAGCCTCGCTCCATACAGGCTTCCTGGCATCAAGGGGCGTGTCACAGGCGCAAATCAACACATTGATCAAATTGCGAAGGCTCAAGCCCGCCAACAAGACACATTGTCATGAAGGTTGGTGTGCTTTGGGCATATAGTATATATATATATTTAAAGAATGGCTGCGGCTCCAGACCCTCTGGGTCTCATTTTTCCTCAAACCTGTAACCTGATAGTCTGCCATCTTGACGTTTCTCGAACCATCAACAAATCCCTCACGGCAGAGATTGAATGGATAAAGCAACTGGATACACCAAAACTGCTCGTCTCTCCGGCCTTTGCCTCTATCAGGCGCCCGCGCCTTGGAAAACAAACACATCACGTAGGCGCTTCTGCCCACGGCGTGTGGTACGTGTGCATGGTTAACACGCGTGGTACACATTGCACCAGCCATCAACAGCACAAGCATGGGAAAAGAAACCTTTGCATAAGTTGAGAGGCAAAGATTAGCCACATACACACGCAGGATGTTGAGAAATCGAGCTCACCTGGGCCTCGGCCAGCCGATTTCTTATAAACAGCCCTCGGGCTGTACAATTATTCCAACAAGCTTAGAGTCATATCGCGGTGACAGCAGGGACCTTTTGACCTTTTCCTAGAAACATGCGGGCCCACCACCATGCGGGCCCACCACAAGTATAGTAAGCATGGTTGTCATGGGGTAAATCCTGTTCTGCTGCAACTTGCCTGCCCAAAGCTCTCTGATGCATGCTCGGACCCGATTCCGGTGCTGATTCGTGAATGCTGAGCATCGCGCGGTGGTGAAAGGCATATAACCAGGCAGGCTGCCACTGGCAATGCAAGAATTGCGCACGCAAAGTGGCAAGCACCAAGTACGAGAGAATCAACTCAAGCACTTTTGGAATTCGGAATTGATTTGGATGGCCAGCTAGACCGTCCTTGGGCTACGCAGTTGCCCACTTCAAGCAACAAACAGGCCCATTGTGAACCTCGCCTTTCCGCACACAGTGCAAGCAGCGTTCCGCTTTACTTGAGGGACCCGCACGGCACAATATACATACAAATGGGAAGCAAGTTTTCACCTGCACCGTCCACGCAACAAATAAGGTAGCTGTTTGGTCGGCCGGCAGGTCGCAGCCCGTCTGCGGCGCCTGGACTCTGCATAGGCTGGAGGGCCTTGGCCTGCAATTTAAATGTCCGATAAGCTTCAAGTGTGTCATTTTGCCCTGGCTGCCAACCTTGATGCATCTTTGCCATAAATTACCAGTGGAGATGCAAAGCCATAGATTTTGTCCGTTCCTCAGAGAAGTAAAGCTGGATTGGTCTTTCTGCATCGCTGTTGCAGTCCACGGTTGCGATTTTGACATCGGCGATTTTGAGCACAGAACTAACTGGCGACCCGCGCCCGACACACAACATACTCAGATGCACAGCAGGCCCCGCCTTGCCCTTTGTTTTTGCCTTTGCCGTCTCTGTTGGCACCTTGGCCTTTTCCTTCCCTGCTTTTTCCACCAGCCCCGCCACCTTTGCCTTTCCCATCCTTTCCTTTTCCTGACCAGCAAAGCTCTCCCTCTCAGATGCACCAAGTCTAACGCCCTGGCACTGTCACTGATCACCTCCACTTCGCATCACAAATGGAATGGAATATCGCACAACATGGACCGCATCAGGTCACCCCTTGACTGCCCAAGTGTGAAAACACTCAGCTTCGTGCTGCACAAAGTTAGGGCAACCTGAATTGTATCATCACCATGACTCACACAAGCACTTGAAGGCACAAGCTGAAACATTGCCCCGTGCTGGTGCAGCACCGCACCACGGAATGATGACCTGTCCATTGGAGGTGGCAAAAAGAAGAAGCTCGTTAACCTATTTCAAGGCGCCAGCTGTTTCTTGTGACATCTCAGGCGAAGCGTAGCGATCGCAACTGGCCTGCTTTCGCAGTCTTGCCTTTAGGGCGGACCTGAAATCAATGACAGCGGATCCAAAGTGCCCCGAAATAATGGCGGCGTGGCTAATTGGCTGCACATGCCAGCAGTTGTGCCCCTTTTAGTTGCACACAAATCCAGACATGGCCATGGGTCAAAATCCCGTACCCCCAGCGAGCCTCCCAATCCCCACTAAGATAATGTTAGACTAAAATGGGTGGTGCACCTACCCAAAATGGTACCATTTGTTTTGACCCACAGCCACATCTGCACAGAAGCCAGCCAGTAAAAAAAGAAAAGATAAAGAAAATAACATGTGCATGTACCTAGCGTTGCGGAGTTTGACCTCCGAAGTAGGCCTCGGCTTATGGTGATGACATGTTTCTGTTGATCGGTTTGGTTAGCCGTTGAATCCTCCTGGCAGGGGTTGCTGCTTTGGTTTCAATCGGAAACGCGTTGCCTTCCTCGGATATCAGTAACGTGAGAGAGCCAGGCCTGCCTCTGTCCGCTCAGCCGACTTTGTGCCTTCCAGGCACGGCAAGTGAGCCAACATGGTAGCAACGTATGCAACGAGCCGGCGGCACTTTTCGGATTGTGAACATGTGTCGCCAGTGACCGATGCCATCTCTATGGAGCCAACGATGGCCCATCAATCGGAGTGATGTACTTGTGAATCACTGAGAGCCATTAGCGCTTGCATAAAAAACTATTGGAGTTTGAGTGGGGGACGCCTGGCAACTTGCATTACGTACCACTGAAGGATGATAGATGCACGCTGATTCAGTAGCCTTCGCGCTGCCCATGCAAACAGTACCTCAATGCGCTGGCATCGCGTGGTATCTATTGGTCAAAGGTCAAACTTTGGTTTGTGGAAAGTGTCCAAACCTATGCTGCCCCTTGGTGTTTGGGATTGCTCTCAAAGAAAGGTCTACTGGTCGCGCGACATTTGTTTGACTCGCGAATGCCCCTCAGAATCTGGCTAAGTAGCTTGGGGGTGGTACATGCAAGAGTGAGTGGCTGGCGTGGCTGCTGCGGTTTATACGTGCTTGAACGGCTGAAGGACACCCATGATTCTCAGAGGGCCCTTAGTGTTGATGATTTCTCAGTTTAGCTGAAGGGCGCAACAAGAGCTAAGCCTTTCTCCTCTGCTGCCTGAAGGCTAGGGCATGTAGACTTTCTTGGAATTGCTTGCAAAAGAAAGCACAAATCACTGTGAAACGGAGACCCCTACACCCAAACCAATTCAACAACAAGGGACTGCGAGAGGAGCAATGCTCAGCCATCCTTCACACCGACCAATGGCAACGCAGCTCAGTGCGACAAACGACAAGCGGCCTTTGCCCTTCTTTCCTTTGCCTCCTTAGCCCGCCAAATGGGTTGTTGGATTTGCGTCTGAACCGTGCCCCATGAAGTGAGCCTGAGACAACTGCCAAAGTAGCCCCAAACCTTGCGAAACAAACTCCCAAAAGACATCAAAGCACCACGATGGCTGCGCCAGCCCAACATCTGGGGACCGACCGACCGGCCGGCTGACCAATCAACCAACCAGCCAACCAGCCAAGCAACCAACTAGGTCTGTCCGGGTCAAGGCCCGTGTCATGGCTATCCAAAAGAAAGAGCACCATTCCTGGCAACCAATAAATCTGGCAACTGCAAGTCAAACTTTGACGACGTGTTCCAGCCAAACTTCCGGCACACCCACAGTCTTAGCCCCTGACCCTTTTGATCCGGAGCCTGGGGTGACATCGGTCATGCGCTTTTTACTTTCAGGTTCGGGTGAGCACTTTGCCAACATCCTTCGGGATATGATCGCATGTTGGGGCTTCTGACGCGATATGCGTAAAAATGCAGAAAACAAACAACATGGAAACTCAGAGACACACACCAACATGCATCGGCGTGCGAGATGGTGTGAATCTTCAATCTGAATCAATGAATGGATTGCTCCCTCCCTCACGTTATATGCATGGCTAGAAAGTGATACGATGCGACAAGTAGAAACAGGTCTAGGAAAATTTTGGTCCACTCCGGGTCCCTAAATTACTGCCTGCTGCCACCACGCACCTCCCATCTCACTTTCAGGTTGACAGAGCAAAGGGGAACACCAGCTAAGTGCCAAATTTACCCCACAGGCGACGACTATAGCTTGAGTGCAACGTACTCTGACAAGGGCCACCATGCTTGGCCTCTCAGTCAATCAGAAACTTGCCGGCTTTCTCCTCCCGGCCTCATCTTTTGCCTCCTGTGCTTCGGGCACGCCTGAGCCATGTGTCAGCTTGCCTGTCTTCGAGCCGCATTGTCAAAGACCAACTCTGTCAGCAACATTGACCTAAGCCTTGAATCAGCAGAAGCCGGCGAACCCTCGGCACCAATGCCGGCCTATGGCGATCGCTTCCGCAGCACCTTCGGAAGGATTCAACTGGCATTCCCAAGCAAACCAAGACTCCTTCTCCTCCCCATTGGCATTGAAGCGCCAGGACCCAGCGCTGAAGCCGACCCCGTGCTAGAAAAGAACACAGAAACTCTCCCATAGAACATGTTAGGCCTGGGAGACGATGGGCCAAGCGCTTTGCACGCATGGGTCGCTACTAGCTGACAATAGGGAAGCGCCTTCCGAGGCGCGGCAGCCCAGGCAGTTTGTTTGTCAACTCGCATAGGCATTCTGGTTGAGCATGGGCCAGCATGGGGCAGGAGTTTTGAATGGGAGGCCAGTGAAGTGCAAGCCAGTTTGTCCGACAGGACTGTGATACAAGAGAAAAGCGGTTGCTCCGTGTTGGCGGGCGGATGCTATTCCAAACAGCCGGCCGGCTTGCGAACAAAATACCTGTGCACAACCCACGCGGACCTCATGCTAGACCCACTCCTTTTTTGGGCAGGCGCTACTGACAATTCACCTAGCTGCAGCGCAAAGTACAATTACTTGCTGTCATTGCACTGCCAGCGAGTGGCAAGTTCCGCCTGTTACTAAACTGGTATTGAACTCGCAGAACAATTTCTGACTGAGTCTGCCAATGATGCTGAATGAGGGCAGCTGCCAGGTATCAAAACTGATCCTGCCTGCATGCCCTCAAACATCTCCCAAGAGGGAGGGCAACAAAAAATCGCATCTGGCGACTGCCGGCCTGGAGGGGCACCTTTGCCTGGCCTCAGCCGAGTACGAAATCGACTAGCTGGCCCCCTCACCGATGCCAATGCAGGCTCGAAGGACCTCCACACGCCACCAACCGAATTCCTTGTTGCGAGCTGTGACCAAAAAGGAAAGAGCAAGCTTCATTGACGTATGCGCAAAAAAATGCACAACCGCACACGCACACTGAGGCACGCGCGCATGCGCACACACACACACAGACACACACAGAAACACACAGACACACAAACACACACAGACACACAAACACACACAGACACACAGACACACAGACACACAGACACACAGACACACAGACACACAGACACACAGACACACAGACACACAGACACACAGACACACAGACACACAGACACACAGACACACAGACACACAGACACACAGACACACAGACACACAGACACACAGACACACAGACACACAGACACACAGACACACAGACACACAGACACACAGACACAGACACAGACACAGACACACAGACACACAGACACACAGACACACAGACACACAGACACACAGACACACACAGACACACACAGACACACAGACACACAGACACACAGACACACAGACACACAGACACACAGACACACAGACACACAGACACACACACACAGACACACACACACACACACACACACACACACACACACACACACACACACACACACACAACACACACACACACACACACACACACACACACACACACACACAGCACACACACACACACGCACACACACACGACACACACCGACACACACCGACACACACACACACACAACAAACAAACAAACAAACAAACAAACAAACAAACAAACAAACACACAAACACACAAAGACACAAACACACAAACACACACACAAACAAACAAACACACATACAAACACACACACACACAAAACACACACACACAAAACACACACACACAAAACACACACACACACACAAACGCACAAACACACAAACACACAAACACACAAACACACAAACACACAAACACGCAAACACGCAAACACACAAGCACACAACACAGCACACAAGCACACAAAGCACACAAGCACACAAGCACACAAGCACACAAGCACACAAGCACACAAGCACACAAGCACACAAGCACACAAACACACAAACACACAAACACACAAACACACATACACACAAACACACAAACACACAAACCCACAAACACACAAACACACAAACACACAGACACACAGACACACAGACACAGACACACACAGAGACACACAGAGACACACGGAGACACACGAAGACACACCGAGACACACGGAGACACACGGAGACACACGGAGACACACAGAAACACACAGAGACACACAGAGACACACAGAGACACACAAAGACACACAGAGACACACAGAGACACACAGAGACACACAGAGACACACAGAGACACACAAAGACACACAGAGACACACAGAGACACACATATACAACACACAAAACACACACACACAAACACACGCACAAGACCGCTTGCCCGGCCAAAAACAGAGAGACACAAACACAAGCACAGCTCAATCTCAAGCTCAAGCAAACAAAGTAAGCAGTATCAACTGCCAACAACCGCATGATTCATGCGATCATTTGCTGCGAGAAAGGCAAGCAAGCACAAACTGATCCGAACACTTGTGGCTTCTGAGAAGTTGGGGGGGGGGTGATGAGAAGGAACACATAAAAAGAACCTGGGATCACCACGGCCCGCGTTTAAGGTCAGAGCTTGGAGGATGGCTTTGCACCTGGCAGTCCCTTGCCGAAGGAGGTACCTAGATCTCTTTTCACCCCCAGACATGTTGAACATTGTTGGGAAGTGGTGGGGAGGAAAGGGCCCTGGCCTCACTTCTCAGCAGCTGTTCGCTATCCTGGGAAACAAACTGGCAAAGCAACTCCTTCCCTCTCTCTCTCCACCGGCGATTTAGTGCTGCAATATTGGTGTAACACGATCACGTTGATTTCCTATCTCCTGAACAACTTCTTCCAGTCGAGACTTCCATTCCTGATTAGGCCAGTGGCGGGCGGAGGCAGTCGCGGTAACAAGTGCCATTCAAAAATCCACTCCGTTCGAAGCCGGAAACAAACAAGCGCGCACCGTACTGCACATCCCCCCACTTGAAGCCCAGTATCACTTCTTGTTCTGACAGAAAAAAAGCATGTGATGCTTCAGCAGCTGCACTACTGCTGCACTTCTTCGATAAAACACATACAGCATCCTCGCCTCTATGAAAAGTCACTTTTGCCATGTCTCGATCTTTTGGTTCTTTCAAACGTGACCGAAGCCCTGGTGCTTGCCATGGATCGCTGGATGGCCTCGGCCCTTGCCTTGCGGCCAGCCTCCGAGTCTCCGAGTCCGTTCCGGAAGCTTGGAGTAAGTTTCACAAGTCCGTTTTCTGATCTGCTAAAAGTTCAACCTGTGGGTTAAATGGACCTCCCCACTGAACACTAAGAAGCTTACAAGCAAAGGGGATTGGCTGGGAAATACCAAGATGTGACAAAGGGTGTTGGCTGCATTGGATTCACACATCGCACAGCGTTGCCAATGACTCTCATTGGGGCACATGTCATGGAGCCGTGGGCATGAAGCTCCGAACACGTAGCGAAGATGCAAGGGGTTGCACATGCATGCCATGCGACCTAGCACGAATCAGCTCCAAGCAAGCCCCAAACCCATCCAAAGCCAACCCTCCACCGAACGGCAGCCTGGATATCAGCCCTTGGCCCAACTGTACCGTATAGGTCCACCCGAGGCTGGGGATGCCAGGTTAAGCCCTGGCCGCTTGTCAACAAAAACACGATTTTTCCTCATAGGCCGCCTGATGCCCTGAATCCCCGAGTTGGGCAATCTCAAACTCTGTCCCAAGTGGCTTTCCGCATCCCGGTTTCGCCTAAAAAAGACATGGCACTGCCAAGCGCTTCTCTTTTCTCGTTTCTTTTGGTTTCTCCTCGCGCTTTCTTTTTCTCGACGCCCCGTTTGACCCAAACCTTCAGCCTCATCCGGGCCTTTCATCATGTCCAGGACGCAGCAGCTCTGCGCTCCCAAGCCGGCATTGTCCTCCCAGGAAATGGGCGCGACTTTTGATGGTGCTGGCACTGAAGGGCACCAACGGAAACTATTTTGAGGGCCCTACTTTGAGACAAAATCCAAATTGCGGCAATCTGCGTCAGAAACTATAGTCACACTAGGAGCAGCTCATTGCCAGAATCAACCCAGGGCAAATGCACGGGCATTGGTTTGGATTGTCGAGCGCTTGTGCTGTCAACTGCCATTTGCTCTTGATTTCATAGCCAGAACCTGGGATGCACAAAACCAAATTGGCTGGCAAGGTCAAACCCCTGTTGGTGATAATGGGCGACTCATGAACCTGCCCCCTCTTGCCACACATGCCCATGGCAAGCTGTGCCTGAGAACCTACTGAGACACACTCCCCTGCCACAAATCTTGAGGCCAGAAGCATCATGCCAGCGCCAATGAACCGGATGACAGCAAGGGACAAATCTTCCACCCGCCGACGGGCTGAAATTGAGAAAACAAAGGCCAACGTCGTCTGAGCCGTTTATCCTTTCATTGCGCTTAACCGGCGGCCCTGGCCTCATAGAGTTGGAACTGAACCATGACCCCCGGCATGAGAGCGCGACAGCCCACCTTGGCACGCAGCCCACGCGACAACCAGACGCTGGTAGCGTGACATCCCTGTCTGGACTGTCAGCTTGACAGCAAGCAATGGGAGCACTCTGGTCTGGTGATTTTGCATCAAAGGCATGTCTCACGAAGGCAAAGCCGTGCAAAGCTCTCGTTTTCGCCAGCCAAGCTGTCCTGGACCTCTATGCCACGGACTGCCACATCCCGGACTGCACATTGCAAGCTCCGAGCTGCGTCAAGCCCCCAGCTTGGAAACGGCGCCACGTGTCCCAGCATCGAAGAGCAGCTAAATGCTGGGATCTGAGGCACACGAAAGGCCGGGAATCTGTCAGCCTGCATGAATTCGCGCTGCGTCATGTGCGGCGCTTGGGTATTGGTGGTAGGTATTGTATATATATTGGGAAAACTGCTCCTGATATTCAGCCGGTCTTTGACCAAGCTTAAATGAGGCAAAGAACAAACCTACTCTTTGCAGTTGCCATTCGATACCCTCGGCTGCCTTTGCTCACGCTTGGGCGGGCCTCACGCGCTCGGGACGAGGGCTTCCAACGCTTCCCCGTGTCCGGACAGCAAGCACGTGACGTGAGGTGTATGCAATCTGGTGTGGGCGTAAGGCCGAGATTTCAAAACGAGAGAACAAACTTGAAGACGTGTCAACGCGTAGCACCCTCTGCTTCCTGGTCATCATCCACATCATGCCGAGGATCAAACGGGTAAATAAGACGCGAGATAATCCAGCCTCCCCCCCCCCCCAAAAAAAGAGAGAAGAAGACGCTACGTTGCACTTGAGGCTCAGGGTGCTTAAAGGGGCAGGTTACTTAGTAAGTGGGTCATTGCCATGGAAAGCGGGTTGTAGCCATGGTGAGTGGGTTGTAACCATGGGCATTACCCACTTACCAAGTACTTTGCTCCTTTAAGTGGAGTGATGGAAGCCTTCCCCGTGCCTCGGAGAGCACGGATCTGGCTTCCTCTTAAGCGAGCGAGCCAGCCGGGCTGCGGCCCACAGCGTGCATCCTGCATGACCGAAATGAAGGCCCAAAAGCCTGGCAGTCTCAAGGGAGACACATCATCCAGAATCCACCAAGATCCAGCCAACCCGCCAATGCTGCAGGTGAAAAGGCTAGAAAGGGTCTAGGGGGGCAGCGGGGTGGGGGCCTGTTCTACACCGGCTATGAACTCATAGGCGACGAGTCGCCAAAACAGAGCTCGCCCAAGCAGCAAGCAAACTGATGAAGATTGCCTGGCCCTTGCGGGAAACGTACCGACTCGCTAGCAGAACAACCTCGAAGGCGGAATGATTCTGCAAAGGATGCTTTTGTCTTCGCAACAATGACCCCTGTCCGTGACCCCCTTGTTTCACAGTCAAGTTTTGGGGGTGGCTATGGTGACTCAAGTTTTCATGCCGGAACTACCATCCTGATCCATGAGCCTGTCAGGAGAGTTCACACAGTCTTGCAAGGGCAAGTACATCTTTGGGCCCCTCAGGCCGATTCATCCCCAGGCTTGCACAGGGCCATTTCTCTGTATACTACTTGCACGCCTACGCGGAAGCCTCCGCAAGCCTACGCCGCTGCAAAGGGTGCACACGCGAGCATAAGTCAGCTTCCACGTGCCGCAGTTTGGCAGCTCCAACTGGAAAATCGCAACTTTTCAGTGATCACCTTTGCAACACAATTGGGAACCCATATCTGTTGAAGGATCTGGCTGCCAGAAAGGTCTACGTACTCTAAAAATGCCTTGAACGCCCACGCGAATGCCTACGTGGGGCCTACGCGAAGACTGCAGAACAGGCAAAAGAATGATTCGTTCAAACACCAACGCGAAAAGCCTACGCGAGGGTTGACACAACAGCCTACGCGCAGAAGCCTACGCGAGCCTACGCACCCAACCAGGATTGACTCCGCAAAGTACATCTAGTTCCCTTTTTGTATAACAATCAGAAAACGTTGCTCATGTGGGGATGTCTGGATCACGTAAAGTAGATGTTGGCCCTTCAGGAGCGGGAATGCACATGGCTTCACTCAATCAGTCCTGCGTGGAGGACTCCTGAAACAACGAAGAACTCCTGCGACTATTGAGGCAACTATGTCGCGACATGTGCGGATTGAGCTTCGGAACAGTAGAAAACGCTCAAAACCGCAAAAAGAGGTGATGTCAGTTGAAAACAAAACAATGCAAATCTTGTGCGGCTTTGCGCCGTGCTATCAATTTTCCGCTGCAGAGAGATGCGCCGAGGAGGGACAAATAAGTAGAGAACACCAAGGGCATATCAAGACATGTTCACGTCGGTCGTGTGCTGCATATTTCTCTGACATGGAACATGTCCAAGTGTCAGAACTCGGTTAAAACACAAAACAAAAAACAGATCCCCAGAAGTGGTATGTTGACAAACTTTCTGGGATTGTTCCATCAGCACCTATTGCCCTCATGGGATCAACATAAAGTCCTCTCTATGGCACGTCTTGGCAGCCAAATGCAAAATCCCGGATGGGCGGCAAGAAACCTTTCTGCAAACTCCCGGGCAAAACATTACAGCAGTGATCTTCCAGTGTGATGCCTTGGGCAGGCTGCAACATCAGCTCTAGCGTAGAACACTCCCGAACACCATACATATCTTGCAGAATATGGAAGATGGGGCTCGGTTCATCAAACTGAGAGCCATGGACATAAACAGCAATCGAAGCCCTTACCGCGTGCCCATGTGCAACAAACAAATCACCGTGTCCACTTGGCTATTCTTGTGTCCATTCCTTTCCAATCCAACGCGCTTGGAAATTTGCAGGATTCTATGTGCTGCAAAAGGTCCTTGAAGCACGAGGACCCTGCGCAATGCCGTGAGGGCACTGCTGCCCAATTAAAGATCGTAAACGTCACCTCGGCATGTGATCATGACCCCCACAAGCCCAATAGCGTTGAAGTTTGCGATGCAACAGCTCCGCTAAGCCTCTAGCTAGGCATGCTAGCCACCCCTTCCTGCGACAAAGCCATTGCATATTGATAAGCATGGGTAAGTCCCTGCCGCTCTTTCGACAGCCAATGCTTGCAGCTGAGTGGCAGCCAAACATTGGTAGAGAAGGCCAAAAACTGTACCTAGGTCCTGGCCGCGTGAGAATACCTGCTCCGTGGGCATTTGCACGCAAGCCTTTGTTGTCAACATGCCGATGCCTTGGAATGTGCCGGAAACGTCAAACAGTCAAACGTACAAAACGTGGCAAGCATTGTCTGCTAGCCATCAGTCCGCGGCCTGGTTAACCCCACAAGACTTGAGGAGCGGGTGAACGAAAGCTAGCAGTTGTTGCATGAGATGGGTCGGTGACAGAGTGGATTCATAGGTAGCTTGTGTACAACGAGAGGCCCGGCAAGATTCGTAGGATGCGACACGCAAACGCGCATGGTGGCGTGGCAAACCTTGAAAAATGAAAACAACGAGAGGCGTCAGAAGCTGTCTTAAAGCACCTCTGGGTTCTGCATGCAGCGTGTGCAAAGATTCTTGCGAAGTGGTTTACCGAGAAGACTCAGGTCTCAAGTGAACAAGCTGAATCGGTGGAACATGTAAAAGTTCGTAGCACCAAGTCTAAAACGGGCAAACCGAGACTGCTGAACACTGAGCCACTGCCCGGGGGGGGGGGGATGGACCAGGGAGGAATCGAGCCTGAGACCCGGGGGGGGGGGAGGGGGGGGGGGTCTAAATAATTGATGTTTTTCAATCTTTTCGGCTCAAATAATTGAAAAAATCAATCTTTCGGCATTTGAGCCCCTTACCTTGCTTACGCAAGGAGAAACTTCAGCTAGCTAAAGCTAGCTTTCGTGATCAGGGATTGCCCACACTCCTACAGTTTGACCTGTAGCAATTGCAACTTCAAGAAACTAACTTTTCTAGGTCAGTTCTGCTTGCATGTATTGCGCAGTTGCGCGTCTAGTTCCATGTTCGATGACAACTATCGACTGTGCCTCCACTGTTAAGCTTCAAGTCATTTCAAGTTCGTTTGTCCGTTGTCTGGTTCAGCATTGATTCCATGAAGTACTTTAACATTCGGTCGCGTTGCCCAGATTGAATGGGATGGATGCTCTGAGCTGGTTCCCTAGAATTTGTAGCTATATAGGTTGTGTTTCAACTGATGGTTGCAACAAAATGCATGTGCAAGTCTGAATTCACTGGCTTACTTCAAATCTTCCTGAATCAAAAATCAATCATGAAGGAATGTCCCAAACAAAAAACAACAAACAAATTACTTCGCTTCGAGCAATCCCCACACTCACGAGCTTACGGCCGTTACAACAAATTCCTGCGCATCCTATTGGCAGGATCCACTGGCGAGTACTAGCAAGCCGCTGCTGCTTGATACTGGCCGGATACTCGGCACAATCCACTGGCAACTCAGCGGGATCCACTGGCGGGCTGCTCTGGTGGAATACCCGCCAGGGTCCACGAACTACCCTGGCGCGACACTTGGCGGGATCCACTGGCGTGCTACTCTGGCATACTCAGTGGGATACTGAGCGGGATCCACTGGCGGGATCCACTGGCGCGGGTACTTACTGGCGTGCCACTCTGAAATACTCAGCGGGATCGGCGGGATCCACTGGCGGGCTGCTCTGGTGGGATACTCGGCGGGATCCACTGGTGAGCCGCTCTGGCAGGATACTCGGCGGAATCCACTGGCGAGCCGCTCTGGCGGCATACTCGGAGGGATATACTGGCGAGCAGCTCTGGCGGGATACTGGGCGGGATCCACTGCAGCTCTGGCGGGATACTGCTCTGGCGGATATTGGGAGCAGCTCTGGCGGGATTCTCGGCGGGATCCACTGGCGAGCAGCTCTGGCGGGACACTGGGCGGGATCCACTGGCGAGCAGCTCTGGCGGGATACTCGGCGGGATCCCTCGGCGGGGCCCACTGGCGAGCAGCTCTGGCGGGATACTGGGCGGGATCCACTGGCGAGCAGCTCTGGCGAGATTCCGACATAAAACCTAACAACCCCTTCCTGTCGGGTGGGGAACAAGAAAAGCAAGTGGTCAGCTTTCAGGCGAAGTTTGTCATGCACCCTCACCAATCCCTTCCAAAAGCCGGAAAAATTGAAGTCTGACTTGTCAGGCACATGTCCTTTTAGAATCATAGCTGGATTTCCCTGGTACACGGCCCATTTCTTGCAAACCACAGTGGGCACAGAACTGGAAGGGCGATGTTGCCATCAAAACTCACTGGTTCGGTTGATGTTGAATGCTTTTCCCGGGCAAACCCCTATTGGGCACACTGCAATGAAAGGGCTAGAAAAAAAAACGGTTCCGGGCCAGAACGCCCGACAAAAGGGCTGCCGGCGCGAGTGCCGCGCGACTCTGCGCGAGTGCCGCGCGAGCGCCGGGTGAGCCGTGCCCTCATCCCAATGAAGATGGCTTCCGCTTGTGGCACAACTTCAAGTGCTGCGGAAAAAGAAGAGAGAACCACCCAGTGGCCGTGAACATACACGCATGCAAACGGCACATGGAAGCCGACTAAATGTTGATGCTATGAATCTGGGATCTCATGGGCACCTTTCTGGCAGGATACCTCGAGTAGAACATCATACATGCGATTTCCGAAAGTCAACTATCCTTACATCCACAAACACAACAAACACAACGGGCACCCTCACCCGGGACGACTTAGATCAACCCGGGACGACTTACAGCACTTACCCATACCCCTTCCCCCCCACCCCCCTCCCCTCCCCTACCCTCCCAACCTACCCCCCCTTCCCACCCCCCCCCTTCCCCCAACCCTCCCCCCACCCCTACCCCCCTTCCCGTACCTGGCGGCTCGGCACCGAATCTCCGACTTCGACGCTCCTCCGCGGCGAAGCCGCTGCGCAAGGCCACGGGCGCCAGGCACAAGACGCCCCCGTAGCCCAGGCACATCAGCCTCCGAAGCATCAGAACCGCGGAGGCTCTCACAACGGGGCGAAGCCGGTGGCCCGGAAGTTTCTAGAACGCTTTTATGTGTTCTTTAGAGTCGTAGTTATGTTCTTTTTAGTTCCTTGTCTTGTTTTCTCTTCTTCTTTGCTGCTTTGATAAATGTAGCCCTGCTCTCATGGCATGGCTACAATTGCCGACTGCCTGCATCTCCTTTGCACCCTTGGGTGACATTTCCCCAACGGCCCCCAAACATGCTGCAAGTTCACAAATGGCAATGTTTCTTGCAACGTATCGTATCGATATTGTCCCCGCATTGCAAAAGGCATGGTCATCACGCTTTGCAGCCAAAGGCGCTGCATGGCTGCCTCGAACCAACGGCGCTGGTCGACTGGGCAGACAGAACAGAAAATGATCGAGTGCCAAAAGCTCATCATCAAAACCCCAATCCTCCCGAAGGGAGTCCGCCATCTGCATAGACTGTTGGTGGCATGGTCAAAGGCTGCAGGAGCGCGCAGCTAGAGGTTAAACACCGCGTGTAGAATCTTGACGCGCCATGGACGTATGTGCTACGAGCGTCGCCAGCTTCAAGAAAACTCTGACACACGCAACGCAAGCTGCGACCTTGCCAAGCAGCACAATAGGAGGATAAAGGCAACCAGGAAGAGTCCTCATCAGGCACAAGAGCAGTTGCTCTGGCAGTATCTGCCCGAGTTCCACCAAATATGGTGTTTGTGTACTGGTCGCAATGCGCAAGGGTCAACTTGCATACGAGTTGGTTTGTTTGATCGCGTGTTCGGAGTTCTTGCAGCTCGCCCCTCCCCGCAGGCTTTTTGAGAGGCCCTTGAAGGGGCCCCGGTCCCGTGCTTCCGAGGAAGCCCAGCTCCATGCCGACACAGCCTAAGGCAGCGTCGAGTTACCAGTCTGCAGTGCACGCTGGTGGACATGAGGCCATGTCAAACTTTGCACTTGGAAACAAGGCCCGGTCCCTTCACGGATTGGCGCCCCTTGTTCGGCGGCATTCTCGGCTGGCCTCTGCCAGCTGGCGCCCAGTCTGCAAGGAGGCCGCAGAGCAAACGCCCCATGGCGGAGAAGAGCCCCAGGCTGAGGCCAATGCGGATCTGGTCCTCATTTGAGGGTGCGCCCTGCCCGACCCAGTGAGAAGCAATACTCAATCGCGCGGCCGGGGCTACGCGCGCTTAAGGGCCAACCATACACGCAAATAGAATTGTAGTCAAATATGGATGAATGTTTTTTGTACCCGGCAGGAATCTCTTTCTCGCTCTCTCGCTGCGCCATCCCTGAGGTCCAGCAGTTGGGGCGCCGCTGCTACGCAAAAACAGCGAGCTACCAGGCAAACCAACACATTCTGCAACCAACATTCTCGCATGTAGGAAACCGAGTTCGTCCGGACAAGCAGCTTCAAAAGCACCAAGGTGACATTGGACTTGCGCATGCGGTCACGAGCATCCGTGCAGCACTGCCGGCCGCAGTGCTGGTTCTCGACTGACAGCCCCAAAAAAGGGACCACGCAACCCGACCGCAAAACAGCTCCAAGGACCCAGGAAAAGGTAGCAAAGCACAGTGTTCTAAAGCGTTGTTGCTTCCGGGACATGTTTTTTTGCTGTTTTTTTTTCATTTTTTCCGAAGGGTTCTTCCGCGCGGAGCTCTCGGCCTGCGCGGCCCTCTGTGGGGATCGGCGTGGTCGAGGTACAGCAACTCGAGGTTTTTTTTGCGTTTTTGCGGTGCGCGGATGAACCCTCTGAGGGATCGGCGGGTCCGAGGTACAAAAAACTCGTGGTTTTTTGCGATTTCTGATCTGCCCGCGCGACTCTGCGGGGATCGGCGTGGTCGAGGTGCAAAAACTTGAGGTTTTTTTGCGATTTCTGATCTGCCCGCGCGACTCTGCGGGGATCGGCGCGGTCGAGGTGCAAAAACTCGAGATTTTTTGCGTTTTTGCGGTGCCGGATGAACCTCTGTGGGGATTGTGCGTGTCGACGTTCTCTCGCTGTGGCGCCGTGCGAATTCGTCTTAGATCGTGTGTGTCGAAGCGCTCTCGCTGTGGCGCCGTGCGATTTCTTGGATCGGCTGTGTGCTTACTAGTGACTTAGCATGGTTATGATGGTTAGCTAACGACTTATAACAAGTTAGCTAAGTAGTTAACTAAGTGTTTCCTAAGTAGTTAGCTAAGCTTGAATATAGACTTTAGTCAGCACTCAAGCTGAAATATATAAGCCCGGGAAAGTTGCAAATTTCCTTAGTGAGCAGCCTTCGAAGCCTGACAAGCACATTGAGAACAATAGGAAAAGCCTATGAAGGCTGAGCCAAAAAGCCTGAAAAGGCTGACAGCCCCCCAAAGCTGAATGCCAATGTGTAGCCTGAACAGGCTGACAGCACATGTCTCAAGCCTGAAAAGGCTGAGCCTGGCATGAGTCAACAAGACAGCAATAAGCCTGGAAAGGCTGACAGCCGATGCAAAAGCATTGCTGTTTTGCAAGTTGGCCCCGTCATGCATTTCACGGCCTGTGGGCCCAAGGCACCAGCACCCTCAGCCCATCTTTGCTGGGGCAAAAGGCGACAGGTGTCAGCAAGTCTGCTGTTTGCACCAGAACCAGCTCACCTGTTTCTTTGACCAAGGCTGAGCAAGTCTTTGCACAGTATTCCACAAGAGTAAAGGGAGAAACAATACTGTACACAATACTGCCCACTTGGAAATGTAGGGAGATGGCTGCAACCTCCCAAGCTTGGCCCTGCTGGCTGCCAGCCATGAGCACAACATCCTTTGCCTGACAAGAAGCACCAGTTCGCAGCTTGGCTTGGTTGCCCACATGGATGCAGTCATCAGGCATTCCCATGCCCAAAGTCATGCGAATGCGCAGGGCCAGCTTCTTGTTGGCAGCGCGAGGCTTCGTTAGGCACGCACCCTGCTGCCACTGCTGGAACACTGCGCTGTGCTTCAGTGAGTGCAAATCATGCGCAAGGACCTCCTCCAAGATGCTTTGCTCATAGACAGACAAATTTGTGGTGGCAGTGGCATATCGGGAGCATACTTTGTGCTTTCTTTCCAGTGACCAGCAAGAGGGCAAAACGCCATGCAGCTGCAGTGATGTTGCTAGATGCAACAGCCAGTGAAACTTTCGTGTCATGTAATTGGACCAGCCAGCTTCCTTTGTTTTTCGCAATGCAAATTCCACTTGCTTTTGAAGGACGGGGGGAGCCACTCTGTCAGAAGCTTGTAGTAGCTCCAAGACCCGATTCATGCTGAGGAATGCTTGGCATTCCAGCACATGGCCTTGGGCACGAACACATGCGCGGCCAAAAAAGCAAGAAGAGGGCATAAGCTCAGTGTTTCTGACGCGCTGCACTTGAACTTCTTGGCTTCCTTGTAGCTTTTGACCTTCTTGCTTGAAAAGAGCTCAGGCAAGGAGCCAGCCTTTTGCCAAGTAGCCGGCAAGGTCCACAGCTTCAAGTAAGTCTCCATACTTTCCCAACCCAGTGTTGCACACAGCAGGTATATCATTACTTGCATAACCCCCTGTGAAGCCATTGCGTGCATCCAATCGTGGCACCACTGGCTGATTGGCTGCAAGACGTTCTGGTCCAACAGCTGTTTGCACAAAAAAAGGGAATGCTGGTTGTGTGTGACTCCACACGCCTGCTGCCAGTCATCAAATGCTCTCTTGCTCATGGCCGTCTGGTTGGCAGCACACCTCTGGTAAGCCTGTAGCACTTCCTGGTTTGTTGCAAGCTGACATTGTGAAAGGGTACACACATCAGACCCGAGCATGTCATTCTCATCCTCAAGTTCCTCTTGAAGAGGTGCTCTGACATTTCGGCACATCACGCAAAATTTGCTTCCTGAATCTCCTTTGCAGCTGTATATGTACTTCATTGCACTGCCATCAGCCAGGAACATTCCGAATTTGAAAAACAGCCTGATGTTCTGGCAGCTCTCTCCAGACTCATGCTTCAACAGGAGGCCAAGGCGTGGCTGGGCAATTTCTTTACAGAAAAACTGCTGAAGAACCAGTGCCATGATTTGGCTCATGTTAGCCTGCACAGTGTGGGCAGTAGAAGACCTCACACACCCCAGTAAGAACCAGTTGTCTTCTGAGGCCAGGAGCTGCTTCAGCTGAAGGAATGAGCCATATATCACCCAAGCTTTCCTCTCCTTGATAGCCCTCCCAGCAAGAAAGCATAAAGCACCCCTACAACATTGGCTGCACCCTGTGGCTCAACAACACGAAAAACAAGAACAGCTCCATGCTGGTTGCAGAGTAGAAGCGAGTCTGTGAGCTATGCAATTGCCTGGGACAACTTCATCTGCGTATAAGACCAAGTCCCACGGCCTGGTATGGGAGCTTGGGTTGCTTCCATGCGTGGTCTGAAGCATGGAAGCCCAAGACCCGCCTTGAGCAAATGATGCTGCCAGTAAGGAAAGCCCATTGACCAGCCACAACTGCACTGTCTCGCCAGAGGTGCCCACTGCATGCACTTGCTGCATCAAGGGCCCATACAGATTGTTCTTGCAGAGCTGGGCCCTCGTTGCCTCCGTCATATTCTTTGAAGACATTAAATCAGGAAGGCCATTTGTTTTGACGTTGGACAAGATGGCCTGCAGGGCACTTTTGCTTGCATATGGACAATCTCTCCTCAAGGAGTTTAGCCTTTGCAGCTTGGCTTCCCTGCCACTTTGGGCTGCCAAGCGGGCCTTTGGCTTTGTAGCAGCACGATCCATGGCTTGCTGCTCTTTGGCTGAGCCATGTCATGTGGGATGGAAGCATGTTTTGCCAGCATGCTAATACGCGGGCCCACGGTTGGAAGGGACTACTTGCTGTCTTTGCTGTATAAGTGTCATGTTTTGAGCAGGGGCTGCTTGCTTCTTGTAAAACTGAGCATGTGCAGCTGCAGCACGGCAGCCATCTTGGCCACAGCCTTCCAGATGCTGACCTCAAAGCTGTTCCTGCGCTCAAAAGCCTATTCCGGTCAACGTCTGGCTGATGTGCTTTTTCCTTGCAGGAAGTTTGAGAGCAAGCCTTGCTAGGCTAACGCATTGTGCCTCACACCATAATGAGAATTCAACAATGCAAAGACTGGCTGGCTGCCCATGGCAGCACAGGCATCGACCATTGCAACCTGTTGCTGTGGCAGTAGCCTGCAAAGGTCAAGTGCAGAAACGTGTCAAGTGCTGAATAGCTTAAGCCTATTTTGTGCTGCAACACATGAAAGGTATACAGACCTGAAAAGCCTGAAGAAGCTAAATGGTGACAAGCCTGAAAAGGCTGAGTGCTGCCTCAAAGCTGATGGCTGCAACTGGGAACTTTTCTCTGCCATGGGCAAATCTAAAGGGCAAGCAAGCTTTCTTTGGCTTGCTGCGTGGTCTCGCCCGCCTTAGTTCGTGCAGGTGCACGTGCTGTCTTCATCTACGAACTTGGCCCAATAGCTCGTGCTGCACTGCCCTGTCAGCAATGCCTTGCTTGGCCAGCGTGTTTTCCCCTTTGATCCTCAGATGCAATGCTGCCACCAAGCGCACCGCTTCCACCAATCTAGAAAGTCACAAAATGCTAAAACCACCAGAACTGGCCAGCCAAGCTGCCACTCACACCAGCCAGAACTGTAGACAATGCAGAAATACAATTCATTTTCATACACCTCCCAGCTCAGTCTGCCATGTCGCTGCCACCAGTGTGGGTTCTCAGGCAGCCAGCCCAGCCTTCTTGCCATGCCCCCACCATCAAACATTGCTTTGTGGGGACCAAGGCTTGAGCTTGAATAGGAGCATCACTCTCTTTGCAACATGCTGGCGCAGCTTGGTCATCTGAGAAGCCTGACAAGGCTGAGAGCACAACATGCTGGCAACACACAAACACACAGGAAACACGCACAAACACACTCAATGCTGCTCCCCCCCATGAAGCCTGAAAAGGCTTATGTTATCGGAGGCGCGTGAACCCCAGTGAAAAGATGACGCAAGTTTGGCGGGTCTTGCAAAAGTTGTTGCTCTGAGCGGAACATGCATCTTCTTCAAGAAGCTAGAGACATTCGGTGTCATCCACACAAACTGAAAGTAGCTGCATGTGTTGAAGATGAAACAGATGATAGTTGCCTGACAATGCGCACTCACCAA